GCTGACTGCTGTAACTGTGCTGCTGATGTCTACTGTGGCTGTTTTTCGGTTTCTGTGCTGCAGAAGAAGAAAGAAGACAAAGTCCAAACAGAACTGACTGGGGTCAGGTTTGTTGGGAAATATGTTTTAAATAAGTTCTCTAAAGCATTGTATTCAGACAGAAACACGTCTTATAGGTGAAGTCTGTGATTTTGGACAAATATTGTCAATTGAAGAAATGATCGATAAATCTTTACTTACAGGGATTTTTTTGTTTTGTTTTAATCATTCCTATACTGAATTTTTTGCATTAAAATTCTTCCTTTGAGCAACATAACATAACATGTAAAGGACGGGCCAGTGTATCCTATGCTGAGTGTTATGTGTTCCAGAATTGGGCTTAGCATGAGCGCAACCATCCCCATGCCAAAGGTTCCACCTGGCCACGACTGACTTTTGTGTTTGTCTTCACAATATAAATGAAAAATAAATCGGATATTACCAATCACATTGTCAGGTATAATATATTTCCCCTATGGGGATCAATAAAGAATTATCTTATTTTGTATAACTTTAGAAAATAATCACTTTTTAAGAAAATGTACCGTATTTTCCGCACTTTAAGGCGCACCGGATTATAGGGCGCACATTCAATGAATGGCCTATTTTAAAACTTTGTTCATATACAAGGCGCACCGCATTATAGGGCGCATAGAATAGACGCTACAGTAGAGGCTGGGGTTACGTTATGCATCCATTAGCTGCGCTAAAGGGAATGTCAACAAAACAGTCAGATAGGTCAGTCAAACTTTATTAATAAATTACAAACCAGCATTCTGACAACTCCGTTCACTCCCAAAATGAATAAACAGCAGTCTGATACTGGGACGGTAAATCAAACGTTAGTGCAATCACAATATAGTAACACTCGAAAAGGTACAAAGCAATAACAATATATCAAAAACTCAACGTTGCTCAAACGTTAATGTCACACAACACAGCACACAAAATAAACATGTAAAGCTCACTTTGTTAAGTTATTCCTCATCCACGAATCCCTCGAATTCTTCTTCTTCAGTGTCCGAGTGAAACAGTTGGGCGAATACGGCATCCAACACGACCGGCTCCGTCTCGTCGAAGTCGTCGTTAATCGAGTCAGTGTCGCTGCCGTTGTCTAGCAGTTCACTGACAATTCCTGCCTTTCTGAAAGCTCGGACCACAGTTGATGCTGATATATCAGCCCAGGCATTTACAATCCACTGGCAGATAGTAGCGTATGTCGTCCGGCGCTGTCTCCCGGTCTTGGTGAACGTGTGTTCGCCTTCTGCCATCCAATGTTCCCACGAAGTTCGCAGTCGAGCTTTGAATGGCCTGTTGATACCAATATCTAGCGGCTGGAGTTCTTTTTGTCAATCCACCAGGAATGACGGCGAGTGTGGAATTGGTGCGCTTCACCTGTTTTTTGACACCATCTGTGATATGGGAGCGCATGGAGTCGTATATTAATAGGGATTGAGCTGTGTGAAAAAAGCCGCCCGGTCTCTTCACGTAAATTTCGCTCAACCACTCGCTCATCTTTTCTTCATCCATCCATCCCTTGGAGTTAGCTTTGATGACGACGCCGCCTGGAAAGTTTTCTTTTGGCAAAGTCTTCCTTTTGAAAATAACCATGGGTGGAAGTTTCTGGCCATTAGCCTGGCAAGCGAGAACTACGGTGAAGGACGACTTCTCATTCCCTGTGGTGCGAACATTTACCGTACGTGCTCCCGTTTTATCCACAGTGCGGTTCACAGGAATATCAAAGGTGAGCGGAACCTCGTCCATGTTGATGATGTGCTCTGGCCGGATCTTTTTTTCAATAATCTGTTTTTTGCAATATGCCTGGAAAGTGGCCAGCTTTTCTTGGTAGTCCTTTGGCAGTTGCTGTGAAACAGTAGTCCGTGTGCGGATGGAAAGATGACGTCTCTTCATAAACCGAAAGCACCAAGAAGGACCGCCTTTAAAGTCATTAATGTTCTGTTCGCTTGCTGTTGCCTTCATTCGAATAGTGACTGTACTGACACTTCTACTTGCTGCTCTCTGTTCAACAACCCACTGTTCGAGTTTGTCCTCCAACTGTGGCCATCTCGGTTTGTTCCCTCGGAAACTCTGTTTTGTCTTCTTTACCTGGCGCAGGTCATCTTGTTGCTTCCTCCACTTCCGCACCATTGATTCGTTAATGTTAAATTCTCTCGCTGCTGCTCTATTCCCGTGTTCTACTGCGTGGCTGATCGCCTTGAGTTTAAACTCTGCGTTGTAAGCGTGTCTCTTAATAGGAGCCATTTCGGGGTCTTCACATAAACACACAAAGAAAAATGAAACGGTGCGGCCTGTGCAGTCACATATTCCAGCATGCACCGCGCGCTTCTTCTTCTACGGGGGACATGAAGTCGGCGGCTGATTACCGTAATTAACCGTAATTACCGTGGCTCAATATTGGTCCACATGTATATGTTGGTCCATATATAGGGCGCACCTGATTACAAGGCGCACTGTCAGCTTTTAAGAAAATTGGAGGTTTTTAGGTGCGCCTTATGGTGCGGAAAATACGGTAAGCTCAGCCAATTAAAATAGATGTTACAAAAGTGGTCCCATATTTTTGGGTGCACCACATGAACAAGACTAAAGAGGAAGCACCTTTACTTCCTATTTAGTGAATTCAAACGGGTTTCAGTATGGCTTCCACTTAGATACTTTTAGCCCATTTCACTCAGTCAGGAACTTTTCCCTATCAAAAAAGATTACTCCACTGCAAATACAGTTCAGACAGACAAGTACAAGGTGATCTGGTTTTAGAAATTTGCGCTTAAAATAAAGACTGAAGAATATTGGAACATTTGCTGCATTGCTTAAAGTAAAGTTAACCATTTTAGGCTTTTAACAGGTGAGGCATTTCTCACTTGTTTCTGAAGTTTTGCAGAAACACTGCATACACATTAATGCAATCTTTCAGTAACAATCTAATTAACACAAAAACTGGAGTAAATAAATGCACGACAGCTTCATTTTGTATAATTTCTTCATGCACCTATTTGCACTTCTAACACGAACAGAAACGCATATGGGTTAACATTACATAACTCACTAATAAGCTTGTGAAAGAGATCATAGGTTTGTACGGCGCGAGCCATGTGACAGCAAAAACATATTCACAGAACTGTGCACGATACACTGTGATGGGTAGTACAGGCTGTTCAACAACGTTACTAGAGGAGGTAACAAAAATTTAGATGCCATGACAAAGAAGAAATAATCAATTTGTATTTGCAGAAAATTCATAGCAGCTCCACAGCTTCATGTGGCACGTGCCACATGTAACTCTGTCACATGTGAAAGGACAGATGACCTCTGAGACTGGAGTTTGAACTTAAACATAAAGGGTATCTGTTCTTTTACTGCCAGCCTGCAGACCAGAAGGACTACTGCTGCCTCTCTTGAGCACAGGTAAGTAAATTTCAGAGGCATTTTCATGGTGTGGGTTGAATTATACTATGTTTCATTATTAGTATGTGAAGTTTTGTACAGGTTCTAAATATCAAATGCCCTGCAGTTGTGTATGCTTTATTTAAACAGCAGAGCACTGCTTGTGAAGATTTTGCATAGTGGTATCCGTAATATGCAAAAGGAGAGGGGCACCAGACATTGGAAAAAAGGCAATCCTTCAACTGTTACTTTAAATGATAACTTCCTACGCGAAAGGAATAGCTCGGATAGCTTGTCTTGCTCACAACAAAAGCCCAGAAGACAGAAGAAAAACATAATGAAAAGATCTTTTTCAGCATTTAAGTCAGATTACATTGTAGTGCTGGTACTATTACTGTTCCAATGCCCCATGTTATGTAGCATGCCAGCCATGTTAAAAATAATTAAAGTATAAATAATAGTATGGTATGGTATTGTTTCCTTGTTACTGGAACTGCATAGGTGGCAGTTTACCGCTCGTCCTGTTTTTGTACATGTTTCTGAAGCAGTGATTGCTTGCATTGTGTGGAATTGAAGCTTTCTGTAGCTCTTCCTTCAATAAGTAGACATAGATAAGTCCCTTGTTGTTGATGCTAACAAAATATGATCAAATTCAAATTCAAAATCATAAAGAGAATAATTCTATTCTAATTCAGCTTGCTAATAAGAACACTGAAAGTTCCTTCATTAAAAAAAAAACAAATAAAGTCTGCAATAATGATAATTTAGGTCATTTAACTTTTTTTCCAGTTCATTTCAGTTCAATTCACTGCACTTCAGTTCAGTTACGAGAGGTGTGGGTGACTTTATGTGAAGAGTGGGAGTGTTTGTGAGGGACTAAGTGAGGGGAGAAGAGGCCAGTAGTAAGGGATCATGGACTGTAAAGTTAGGGGAGGGAAATGAGGAGAAGCCAGAGATTGGAAAGAAAAATAAGACTTATCTCAGCCAAGGTTTAATAAAGACACAGACATCTAAGCAGCTGTCAAACCAGGTCAAAGAGGTGGTGGAATAATATGTATCCAGACCTGCTTCTGGGATCAGTGCATAGTCAGCAATTCATTATGGACCAGGACACTTTCACACATCTAGCTGGCTCTGTGTTCCAAAGACACTTTGTTTAATACATTAAACGAAGCTGATCAAAAGCTGATTGGTCTTCCTGAAATCTCCTTTTTAGAATTCTCACCTCTCACTCTACTATTCTCCATGCTGGCTATGAAAGCATTTCTCAGCTCACATGTGTTTCTGCTTTATCATTTCTCATCAAGGCCTGTTCTATTCATTTTATTTATTTCCGTCTGCTACAAAGTCACTAATATTGTTTCTTTCTCTCCCTGACATTTTAGAAACCATGCCATTGCATCGTGTGTGTGGAGTGTTTGCTTTCCTCAGCTTATGTCTGATTTCCATCACACCACATTGCCATGGAGGAAACATTCTGGTGTTCCCTATAGATGGCAGCCATTGGATCAATATGAAGGTTCTGCTAGAAGAACTTCATGCCAGAGGACACAGCCTCACTGTGATCAGGGCTTCCAACAGCTGGTACATCCCAGAAAAGTCTCCGCTCTACACATCCATTACACTGGAAATCGGTGTAGGCATGGAGGACTTTTTTGATGTGTTTCTTCAGGAGCAGATGAAGGTATGTCAGTATGGATATGTGTTGGGCTGCATGTGGGACATTTTGTCATTTCTGTAAAAACTATTCAAATTTTTTTTTCCATAACATTTCTTAGGCACTCCGAGAAGAGGATTCACTACTGACTTTGAAACTCACAAAGGATTTCCTTTTTATGATTTCTGAGGCCCATTCACTGTGGACTGGTGCTGTCTCTAAAATCTTTGAAGATCATAATATGACAAAAACCTTAACAGATTCCCAATATGACCTGGTTCTCACTGATCCAGCCATAGGACCAGGTGTTGTGTTGGCCAAATATCTCAAACTGCCCGTTGTTCTCAATGTTCGCTGGATCCCCAGTGGAGAGGGTCACTTTGTGCTCGCCCCCTCACCACTCTCCTATATCCCAGTTCCAGGATCAGGCTTGACAGACAAAATGAATTTCATCCAGAGGGTCAAGAACATGCTTTTCTACAGCATTATACTGTTCCAGCAGAAATTTGTAGTTGGCCCATACTACGAAGCCCTTTGTGACAAGTACATTGAGGGAGGATGTGACATCATCACCCTTCTTCAGGAGGCTGACATTTGGCTGTTCAGGTCAGATTTTGTGTTTGATTTCCCTCGGCCCACAATGCCAAATGTTGTCTACATAGGAGGATTCCAGTGCAAACCAGCCCAGCCTCTGCCAGCAGACCTGGAAGACTTTGTTCAGAGTGCTGGGGAGCATGGAGTGATCATCATGACCCTGGGAACGTTGGTGAACGCTTTGCCCAAGGATGTTGCAGATGAAATTGCTAGCGTTTTTGCCAAGCTCCCCCAGAAGGTAAACAATGTTCTGATATTTTCATTGCAGTGCTTTGGATTGTTACACATGTACTGTATCTGTTGTTTTTGTATCAGCTCATAGAACATAGTATAAAATTGTCACGACTAACCAGGCAATCCCGGTACAAACATGGACCATAAGCAGACAGGTTACAGCAGGTGCTGGAAAGTGCTTCAAAATTAAAAATAATTTTTTTTGTGATTAGGTGATATGGAGGCACAAAGGAGAACGTCCCTCTACGTTGGGCAACAACACTCTAATAGTGGACTGGATGCCACAGAAGGACCTCCTGGGCCACCCCCAGACCAGAGTCTTTGTCGCTCACGGAGGAACCAATGGAGTCCAGGAGGCCATTTACCACGGGGTCCCTGTGCTTGGCATCCCTTTGTTCTTTGACCAGTATGACAACCTTCTACGTTTGCAGGAGAGAGGAGCTGGAAAGATCCTTCAGCTGGCTGATGTTAATGGCAAGACTTTTGAGGAAGGTATTAAGGAACTTCTCCATCAAGACAGCTACAGAGAGAACATTCAAAGAATGTCACGTTTGCACAGAGATCAGCCAATGGCACCCATGGATCAGGCTGTGTTCTGGATAGAATATGTGATGCGTCACAAAGGGGCTCCTCACCTGCGTACAGAGGCTTATAAGATGCCCTGGTACTCATACTACTGTGTAGATGTGCTGCTCCTCTTGCTGACTGCTGTAACTGTGCTGCTGATGTCTACTGTGGCTGTTTTTCGGTTT